AACAACAAAACATGGGACAGAGCAACAGAGAAATTTCTGGAACAACAATGGGATATCAGCTCCGCCCAAGGCATGACAGAAAACAGCAACAACCAGGGGAAAGAAAAACATAACATTTTACAAGGACAGGAAGAAACACCACAGACAGAATAATTGCCACACACAGGAAAAACAAGGATATATGTTGAGTTCCTCACTTGTAGTTTTATAAATCATTTAATGTGTCAACACGAATAGAAGTTATTAATATTGCAGTTGTTGTATGAGGAATTCTTATTATGACCAGAACGTAATTGAAATTAATTAGATTTTGGAACACAAAAATAAAGAAAACGATCAAAACATCAAATCTAGCACACTGGGGTCCCACTGTATCTAAATAATATAATTCGGTATTTGAACGATTTGTAGTAATAATTATATTATAAATTGGAATTGTTATAATGAGGCTATTATTGGACTGTAATTGAAAACTAATAAAAATATTATTTTTTAAAAGAAGGAACAAGTAATGGTGAGTGTCACACACACACAAAAACACACAAAAACACACAAATCTCCTACCTGCGGAATCTTATAGTTATTTAAGAGATTTGCCATGTTAAAAGAAATGTGGGCATCTAGTCCCCCAATGACAGCAATTAGATTTTTCTGGTTGTTCTTTATGTAGTTAGGGATAAATCTTTCCAGAGCTGATAGAAGCAGCATTGTGGCATAATAGGTCTTCCTTGCATTGTTATGGCTGTCATAGATGTTGAATCCCAATGTGATATTGGGTAAGATATGAGGGTTTTCATTGATCTCCTTTACTGCAAAAACCAAGGCTGTGAAGTGTTGGTAATACTTGGGCACTATGCTGGAATGAGAATTGCATTCTGTATCAAAAGCATATTTTATACATAGTTTAATCATTGTCATTGTGTTGTACATCTTATTGAATTATACATTATTACAGTATTCAAATATTCTCTTTCTTGATCCATTTTTTGCACTAAGAGATATACAATACCAGAATTCACATTCAGAACATGACACACCATTTGCTTTCTGAGTATGGTGTCTTTTTTGATATTGTTTGCGAAAATGAACTGCATTGAAAAATTGAATGAGCTGATCATATTTAGTTTGAAAAGAAATGCTTAAGGGGAAACTTGTTAGCCATCGTTAAATGTCTGAAAATTTGCCACAAATTAGGTGGAAATGCATTATTTGCTCTTGTTTTTGACAAAAAGGTTTGAGTTAATTGGTGGGGAAAATTTTGGCTGAACGTTAGAAGAAACGTTTTATCTGTAAGGGCTTTTTGAGTATGAAACAGACTGCCTTGGGCTGTTGTGAGCTATGCTTGGCTGGAGGTATTAAGCAGAAGCTGGGTAGCATCTGACAGAGATGCTGAATTTGACAGATTCATCCATCCCTTCTCCTAGGTAATTTAGTAAAGGATTGCAGCCAATATGGTCAAGCTGACTCAGCATAGAGTCATACTCATGATGAGCATCTGTTGAAGTTTAAAAAGGTAAAGGTAAAGGGACCCCTGACCATTAGGTCCAGTCGTGGCTGACTCTGGGGTTGTGGCGCTCATCTCGCTTTACTGGTCGAGGGAGCCGGCGTACAGCTTCCGGGTCATGTGGCTAGCATGACTAAGCCGCTTCTGGCGAACCAGAGCAGCGCACGGAAACGCCGTTTACCTTCCCACTGGAGTGGTACCTATTTATCTACTTGCACTTTGACGTGCTTTCAAACTGCTAGGTTGGCAGGAGCAGGGACCGAGCAACGGGAGCTCACCCTGTCGTGGGGATTTGAACCGCCAACCTTCTGATCGGCAAGTCCTAGGCTCTGTGGTTTAACCCACAGCGCCACCCGCGTCCCTTGAAGTTTAGGAGATACTAAAACAATGTTGGTGTGAATCAAAGAGAATCAAAAGGGGTTTGTGTGTGAGTCTCTAAGCTTTTCATGGACTGGGGCTTGATATGGTGCCCCAGAAGAAATGACATGGAGTTCTGCCTTCAAATGCATATCCTGCGGTTTTATTCTGAGTTTCCCTGCAAAGCAGGTGATACAGTAAGTTAAATAATATCTATTTGAAATAGAGGCTTGGCTTAAGTCTTTCTTACCAAAAGAAAGAAGAAATGCTAAACAACAAGCATAAGCTTGTGCACTATTTGGGGGAAAATACAAAAATCACAGATCTGTACTTTTTGAATTGACTTTAATTAAAGTGAATAGAGATATATACTCTACAGTATACAGATGGTCAAAACTGAAACTGATACACAAACTTCCTCCATCCATCCATGGTACCTTTTTTGACACTTGACAAAACAAACCCTCCATTTTTTTCAGGATCCCCTAATTGATGGTTAGTCATTGTACAACTCCTATAACTCTGGCCATTGGCCATTTTGCCGAGGGCTGATGGGAGTTGCATTCTAACGGCACTCAGAGGACAGCACCTTGGTCACCCCTGCATTCACTCTTCTAAAGACAAGAACTCAGTGATCTGAAGGTGCGGCTCTAATGCTCATTTTCCCAGGGTCAAATTGCATGAAAGAAAAGCAAACAACCATTAAGGCCTTACATAAATATGTCTGTCAATGTTGGCAGGGGTTCTTCTGAGAAAAGTATTTCACTGGTGACCACGCAGCCATGATAAGCTACAGAACCAATGATGAAGTTTCCTGGCTGATAATATGTGTGAACTGGCGGCTGTGGATAACGGACACTGCACTGAACCCTGTGAGCCACGCATGCCATATGAGGTAACAGGGCCAGTAGCAAAATGACTAAAACCATTCTCAGTACAAGCCCAGATTTTAACGCTGCATACAAAAGCCCCTATTTTGTTCTACAGCATAATCATTACAGTCTCTCTGATTAAAAACTGCTTGAGCTGAACATTGTACATTTTCCTGATAGCCCCAAACCTGGAATATCCAAGAGCAGAACCGTGGATTTCTGCCCTGCTCCCAGTTCTTCTCCCTGCCCCTGAATTTTACAGGGTATATTTATTACATTGTTCACAGACTTTGCTCTTTGTTTTGCTAGTGGACATTGATATTCCACTGGGATTTACCTGAACATCGAAAGTAATTGCAGTTCTTCTGACAAGGTAATTGTGGAAGTAATTGTTGAGTTAAAGTTGGGGAGCCCCTGAGGAATAGAGAAAATTTGTTTGTCACATATTCTGAACTGAAAGATTCGTTCTCAGCTATACAAAAACGGATGGCATGATTTGGAGTCACTGACAGCAAGATAGGGATATTGTATTCACTGCTTTATGATAAGCGTCACAAACATGGCACTTGTGTGTGCCAGTGTGCTGTTGCACAGCACAGCCCCAGAGCCAGAGCAGGGCTCATGGGAGTTTGTATGGTATAGGAGTACAAAGGAAGAAGCCCCAAACACCAGAATGATCAGGTCTAATGCTTTATTGAAGGAAGACGTTGGCTTACAGCAAAGCAGCCTGCCAGTTCCCCTTGCCCCAGTTCAAAGCACACAGGGGATGGCCTTCACAGCAAGGAGATGACTTGTCCACACCCAAGTGAAAGTTCATCCATTCATTATATAGCAAGGTATCTACCTGACAAAGAGGTTATGTGGCAAATACTCAAACATTACAGATAGTTCCTCTTCTGGGCTCTGATCCTAACATCCCAGTCCTACAGATAAGCGCACCATCAAAGCAAGCCAATTAGTGCATATCAAAGCAAGCATGTATAAAGCTTTATGAGCTCGTATCCATAGCATGAAGATGCAGGGTCCTGGAGACACAGGGATTTGCTCCTTTCTGGTCATTCAGCTGCTGCACATCACTTAGCTTAGCATAACTGAGCTTAACATATTATCCAGCACAGTCTTGTGGGTGGCTCTTTGCAGACTAACCAGAGATAAAACCAAGAATTACTCTATGATTTACAATTGGTTGCAAACGGTGCCTTGTCAGACATAGCATCCCAGCTGTGGACCACTATTCTTCCATACATTAAACTGGCACAAACATTAGCCAGATAAATAAATTCCTTATACTGGCATGCTTCTTGATTAAACAGCTTGCTTCTAGATATCATAGCATGAAAGGATATTATATAAAGATTCTATATAGTCTTTGCTGCAGTGTTTAAATGGGTTTACGTTGTCAACATTGAGATCGTTCTGTATGGAGGATGGAATTTAAATTTTAGAAAGAAAGAAACCAATTTCAAGTTAGAAGAACGTTGAGGCCTCTGGGAAAACATATTTAGGGCACCTGCTGAGAGGAAATATCTCATGAATACTCTGCTGTGGAAACAGAAACAAACCATTAAACTTTGAAATTATGGTGAATAATGCAGACATATAAATTCTTCAGCCTTTATTTCTTATTAAATGTTCCCTGTTGTTCAGCTCAGGCCGCAACACAATAATGTAGCATTTTGGGGCAAAAATGCAAGTCAGAAGTCCAGCACTAGAGGCTAAGATAGAGAAGATCTCCACAGCTACCATATATTTCCCCTTGGTACTGAGGTAGCTTGGAAAGAAAGATATCCAAACACTAGAAAAGACCAGCATACTGAAAGTGATGAACTTGGCTTCATTGAAACTGTCAGGTAACTTCCGGGCAAGGAAAGCCACAGTGAAGCTGACAAGAGCCAGGAAGCCCATGTAGCCCAGGACACAGTAAAACATAGTCACAGATCCCACATTACATTCTAGTACAACTTCCTTAGCCATTGAGTGCATGTCAGCATCAGGGAATGGGGGTGAGGATCCCAGCCAAGCAGTACAGATACCTATTTGAATAAGGGAACAGGAAACCACAATGGAATTGGTCATTCTCTTCCCCACCCACTTCCTCATCCTGGATCCTGGCTTGGTGGCCATGAAAGCCAGAACCACTGTGAAAGTTTTTGCCAGTATACAAGAAATAGCCACTGAGAAGATGATGCCAAACGCAATCTGTTGAAGGAGACAGAATACCCTTCCAGGTCGGCCGATGAACAGCAGTGCAGAAAGGAAGCAGAGCAGGAGGGAGATGAGAAGAGTGTAGGTGAGGTCCCGGTTGTTGGCTTTGACAATGGGTGTGTTGTGATGCTTCAAAAATGTTCCCAGGACCAGAGCTGTGATGAAAGAAAAGGAAAGGGCAAAACAGGCTAAAATGATCCCCAAAGGTTCTCTGTAAGTCAAGAAGCTTATATCCTTGGGAATACATAGATCCCGATTATTGTTTGGATATTCTTCTTCTGAACATTGATTGCAGTCATTCATATCTGAAAAAAGGAAATATGTGTTGTGATATTTGTTTGGAATATTCATGGTAATGCATTTTTTTGGAGGTTTTATGTCTGGTTTGATAAAAAATTATTTAAAGCTTGGGACCATAAATGTTATATGTCAGGAATGGTTTGAAGAAAAGTAATCCTAATAGAGTCCTAAATTTACAGGCACATTCCTCTGTCTTTCAGGCAGACCCATTCTATTTCGCAACGCTGTACAATATACACATAATACTTACCCTCCTGATCTGAAATCTTCCCTTCTGGACAGGGGATGCAATCATAACAGCAAAATGGCTCTCCCTCTTTCAATTTCTTCCTAAAGCCAGGGTGGCACCTCTCATTACATAAGGAAAGAGGCTGAAACTAAGGTACAAATGAGAGAGCACAATAATAATGCTGAGAATAGTGAGTTAACAAAAAGACCCCAAAATATTTTGATTTTCCTAAGTGATACAGTGGAACCTTGGTTTTCAAATGTAATCCATTCCAGAAGTCTGTTTGACTTCCGAAACATTTGAAAATTGAGGATCAAAGGGCTGTCAACAAGTTCAAAGGAAAAGGAAAAGAAAAAAGCTGCTCAGAAGCCATTTGACTTCCAAGGCGCATTCGAAAACAGAAGCATTCACTTCTGAAATTTCGGCATTCGGCTTTCAAAACATTCAGCAGCTAGGACTTTCAAAAATTGAGGTTTGATGCCACATCATGCATATATATATATATATATATGACACCACCTGCATATTGATATTGATTCACTACATTACCTGTATGTGCTTTTATACAATAGATAATTCAAGATTTATAAACTTTGTGTTTTCACACACACACACATTTTATTTAAATATTTGACATGCACTAAATGTAACACTTCTGCTTGAACTAAACATTGCCAGTAGAGCATGACTGAATGTTAAATGACTTATATTATAATCTTATGTATATTTAAACCAATAGAGATATGATTAAATTCTATATAAAATTTTCTCTGAACCATTTCTACATGAATAAAGGCAAGAACAGAGCAACATTTGTTTGTTTATTTGTTTGATCTCATTATAGACCACCTTTCTCGCAGGTTAGTATTCAAGATGGCTAATTGTGGAATCATAGCCACTTGTGGAATCCCATTTTCCCAACAGTTTATCCATTGTGCATTCTCAGTGAAATCCCCTGCCTCCAGATTTTATAGTTTTCATCACTGTCTGATAAAAATTATTTTACACATCAGGACAGAGCATCAGTATTCATTCAAAACTGGATGTCTTTTCAAATTGCAGACAATTGGATCCTACCTGGTTAAACGTGCTATACCATGTTATCTCATCTGCATTGATGGTGAATACTTTGTTGGGGTCCACCCTTCCAACTTTCACTCTGTGAAATGATTGGTTTGAAGAAACAATCCAGTTGATTACATCAAATCCAGCCACTAACTCCCCAAACTCATCAAAGAAAATCTTGTCCCCACCGCTGTTGTTAAACGTGACATTTCTGAGAAATTGATGTAGCTAGGTTGAATAGCAAAAAGCAATAGTTTGGAAAAGGCTGAAGTTAGATCTTGCATATTAAGGTCTAACGTCTACGGTTTTCTAGTGAGAAAAGACTACAGAAACACAATAATTAAATTAATGCACATAAGTCTTAATAGAATGGATGCCTTTATCTTACTGACAACACAGCTAGGGATATAAGGGGAATCCTTTAGTAGCAAGCAAATTTCCTCCTGTTCACCTGTTCAGCCCCTATCATAGTTATTCCTTAAGTCTCTTTTGTCCTTAAGTCTCTGCTGCATTTTTTAAAAGGTTTGTACGTAATATGTAAATATTGTGTTGCAATCTACATAATCTACATATTCATCAATGTATAATTGCTGTCCCAACGGGGGTTTCATTGCTTTTTTCCCTTTTTTTCTGAAGTGTTGTTTGTTGACTCTGTGTATGTGTAAATTGTTGCTAGAGGCTATAATCCAAATCCAACCCAGAAGTAAAACCCATTTAATTCAAGGGGTTTATTTCCCAGGTAAATGCAGGTATGATTGTAATGTTAATACACTTGCTACTATGAAGGTTGAAGCCGAATGGAATACACTATTCATTATTTTTCTGCAGTTTCACACACATTGCCTTTTATGTATTAAAATGCCTTTATGAAACAGAATGTTTCATTAAAAAAGGATTTCATATAATCCTGAACACAAACAGCAAAATATCAACAGGGTCAGCAGGATTCTAAATAGCCATTCCCTGATGCCAGAGTGAAGAAAGAAATACTGGATTAAGTTTATGCAGAGCTTTACAGTGAAGATAGCACAAGCAAGACCAATACTAGCCAATGTGGTATTCACTTCCAGATATTGTTGGACTACGATACCTTTCCCACCCCGACCTGGCCACAGTGATCCATGCGACGGTCACCTCCAGGCTTGACTACTGTAATTCGCTCTACGCGGGGCTGCTCTTGAAGCTGTCCCAGAAACTCCAGCGGGTGCAGAATGCTGCAGCGAGGCTCCTCACGGGGTCTCTGCCATGGGAGCATATTCACCCAGTGCTTTTCAAGCTGCACTGGCTCCCGGTGGAGTACAGGGTCAGATTTAAGGTGCTGGTTTTGACCTTTAAAGCCCTTCACGGCCTAGGACCCTCGTACCTACGAGACCGCCTCTCGCGTTAAGCCCCACGAAGAGCCTCAAGGTCCATAAATAGCAACACCCTAGTGGTCCCAGGCCCTAAGGAAGTTAGATTAGCTTCAACCAGAGCCAGGGCCTTTTCAACTCTGGCTCCGGCCTGGTGGAACGCTCTGCCTCATGAGACCAGGGCCCTGCAGGATCTGATTTCTTTCCGCAGGGCCTGTAAGACAGAGTTGTTTTGCCTGACCTTTGGCTTGGAGTCAATTTGATTCCCTCCCTCTCTTTTTTTTTTCTTTTCCTTCTCCTCCTGCGAAGAGGCTACATTTTAATATTTTAATGTTTCAATATTTTAATGTTGTATTTTAATTTTGTTTTTAAGTTGTAATCATTCAACTTGTTTTTATTATTGCTTGTAAGCCTCTCTGAGCCCGGCCTTGGCTGGGGAGGGCGGGGTATCAATAAAAATTATTATTATTATTATTATTATTATTATTATTATTATTATTATTACAACTCTCATCACCCCAGATAGTATAGTCAATAGTTAGGGATGATAGGAGTTGTAATCCAAGAATGTATAGAGGGCATCATGTTTACTACCCATGAGCAAGACCGTATCTCATTATGAGGTCCAAATAGTGTGATACACACAATCCAGGAAGATAAAAGCTACATACCTCACATTAATATACCCAGAGATCACAGAGATCACAGGAGAATACCCTACACTGATCAGTAACAGTGTACATTGTTTATAAACCTAAGTACACTGACAAAAAGGAATGAATCAGAGTAGACTGATAGGCTATTATTTCAACTCTAGTTGATTGAATATGAAGAAAGATTGAAAGATGAGCACTGGAAGAGTTGCAGGGAGTTAGTTTTATTATACAGATTGTGGCATACTGTACCATGGTTGTGCCTCTCTGCCACTTGAACATGTTGAGTCCATTACCTGCCACAACTGTTGATTTTGCCATTTCAGTCCCTCTCTATTTTCCATCGCTCTGTGTTTGAGTCTAGATGACAGTGCGTGATGTAAAGCATGAGCAGCAGCATAAACAGCATTGTAGATGCTGTAGCTGTGGCCAGACATGCTGGTTTCAAAAAACGTTGCCGGAAGGCTGTCCAGTTTCTCGTCCCCAGTGCAAATATCTCCCTCCACATCTCCCACATCTGGATTTGGGAAAACACAGCCAAATGCCTGTTGCCAGAAGTCCCTGATAAAACCATTTGCCTTTGCACTGGAAGGACTTTGGCTCTCAGCAAATGATTTGAATTTTGGCAGATCATTGGAGTGGATTGTGAAGGACAGAACACCATGGAATATTTGGGTATCCCAATCCTTTTGATAGACCTGTGAAGTGAGCTCCATTTCAGCTGTTGTTATCCACACTATTCCTTTTGGTAGACTTGGTGGATGTTGTGCAAAATATGGAAGCCATCTCAAAAAATACATGGAAACAGATTCTCCATTAAAAACAACCACATTGGCTGTACTGTTCCTGACTTCACTATGCATTTTTGCACCTTCTTCAAGTATTTCTTTAATTTCATCAATGGAAGTCAACATGGGGACTCTTTGTATGAAGGAAAAGCAAACTCCACTATGGGAAAACATTGGTGATACAGTTTGTAAAAATCTTTCACCACTTTCATCATTCATTATAAAGACTCCAATCCATGTCCACCTGAAATGTAGTAGCAAAGAGAGAATCCCTGCATACTGAAGGGTTTCCTTAGGGACCATCTGGTAGAAAGAAAGGCCTAGAGTTTTATAATTCATCTGTGGAATGGAGCCATAGATGAGCTGGAGAGAGAATGGGGAAGGGGGAAAATGACAATAGCGTACTTTATGTTGCAATGTGAAGGATTCAAAATAGTGCATATAGAATGGAATCCAGTGCTGTCCACCCCTGCTGATGGATGCTACCTCTCAGCAACATAGGAAGTGAGCCAATGTTGTGGATTTCTCCCTCCCCTCAGAAGCATGCTTGTGGATTGAGGGGACTAAAGGAGCAGAAAGAATTATGGTCATATTTTTCTTCTTTATAAGTGAATAATAAACAGCAGGTTCATTTCTCTCTCCCTCTCTCTTCCTAAATTGAAAACAACCATACGAATAAAACAAAACAAACACCAGCAAATAGAGTATCACAAAAGAATATAAATAACACCCAACTAGTAAAAATATTCTTCCAAAATATAAAAAATGAATTCTGTCTCATTATTTGTAAGGGACATATTGATGACTTTAATTTTCACTGTAGAAAATGTTGAGGATTCAAGAAATGAGAATTAAACTCCCATACTACACACCTATACACACACAGAGAGAGAGAGAGAGAAAGAAAAAGAGAGAGAGAGAGAGAGAGAGAGAGAGAGAGAGAGAGAGAGCGCTGTCCTACCTGTGGAACCTTATAGATATTCAGGAGATTTGCCATATTCATGGAAATTTCAGAATCCAGTCCCCCAATAACTGCTATCAGATTTTTCATTTTGTCACAAATGTAGTTCGGGATAAATCTCTCCAGTGCTGATAGAAGCAGCATTGTGGCCTGATAGGTCCACCTGGCATTGTTATAGCTGTCATAAATGTGGAAGCCCAAAGTGATATTGGGTAACATCTGAGGATTTTCATTGATCTCCTTTACTGCGAAGTCCAAGGCCACAATGTGCTGGTAATGCTTAGGTATTACACTAGAATGAATTTGAGATTCTGTATCATGAAGCTATTCCACATGTGCTCAGTATCTGATTCATTAATTACTCAATCAGTCTAATAATTAATGATTACATTATCTACATGTTATATTTCTTGAAGCACCTTTTGCTGTAATAGATAAGCACTACCACATAACAATACTTTCAGACTACGGTATCTTTTTCAATATCATTTGCTAAAATGAACTACACTGAAAAGTTAAATGAGATGGGTATTCACAGCCTGAAAAAAAGTTTGATGGAACACCTGATAGCTGTCTTTAAATATATACAGAATGTAGAGCATATAATATAACAAAGAAGGTAGTCTTTTCTTCTTTATCTCCCCACCCCCCCGCTCCATTGGGAAGGCTTGGAGATAGCAGGTGGAAACTGCAAAGGAGTAGATATTGGCTAATCTTAGGTGGAAAACCAAGCAGTAAAAGCTGTTTGGGAGAGGAACAGACTGGGAGGTGGTGAGCTGCTCTTGGCTGGAGGTATTTAAGCTGAGGCTGGACAGCTTCTGTTATGGATGCCTTAGTTTCAAGATGTCCTCCACTGAACAAAGTTGGACTCTATGAGCACCCATAACCCTTCCATTTTTTAAAATAAGGTGTTATTTAACATACTCATACACATTCATACTAGCAACATTTTCATTCTGTGTAAGCTGCTCACACTGTCCACTTTACTAAAACAGAATTCACTGGCACATAAACAACCATTAAGGTCTTACACAACCGATTCTGATAATGTTGGTAGGGGTTCTTCTTTGAATTCGCTTTCACTGGCGACAAAGCTGCCATGATAAGCGATGCCACCAATGATGAGATCTCCTTTCTGATGATACATGTGAACTGGATGCTGTGGATAATGGACACTGCATTGAACAATGGGATCTTCACATCCTGTTTGAGGAAACAGGACCAGTAGCAAGATGACTAAAACTGCCATTCTAAGTACAAGGAAAAATATTCCATCTACATCCAAAATCTCCTACGTTCTTCAACAGAACAAGCGTCACAGCACCTGCAACTAAAACTGCCCAAACTGAACATTTTATGTTTCCCAGAGGCCTGAAGCTGTGGAGCTTTGCCTGTTCCCAGTCCCTCGCCCTACTAGGTATTATACTGGGTATATTTATGACATTCTTCATGGTCTTTGTTCTTTGTTTTGCTAGTGGCCACCAAAAATCCACAGGGATTTGAATGAACAACAGAATTAATTTCTGCCCTTTTGACAAGGTAATTGTGAAGTTAATTGCTACTTTTAAGGTGGGGACGTCCCTGTAGAGCTAGGAAAGTTTGTTTGTCACACATTTTGAACTGAAATATTCTTTCTTAACTAGCTAAGAAGGGATGGCAGGACTTGGAGTCATTGACAGTAAGATAGGGACATTATATTCAATGCTTTATGATAAGCGTCACCAATATGGCACTTGTGTGTGCCAGTATGCTATCGCACACTACAGCCCCAGAACCAGAGCAGGGCTCGTGGGAGTTTGTGTTGTGTAGGAGTTCAAAGGAAGAAGCCCAAAACACCAGAATGATCAGTTCTAGTGCTTTATTGAAGAAAGATATTGGCTAACAGCAGCCTGCCACTTCCCCTTGCCCCAGCTCAAAGCACACAGGCATGGCCTTCACAGCAAGGAGATGGTTGTCCACATTCAAATGGAAGTGCATATATTCTTTATATAGCTCCTCTCCAGTCATTCAGCTGCTGCACAGCACTTAGCTAAGCCTAACTGCTCTTAACATATTATCCAGCACTGTCTTGTGGGTCGCTCTTTGCAGACTAACCAGAGATAAAGCAAAAATTACTCTATGATTTACAGTTGGTTGCAAACAGTGCCTTGTCGACATAGCATCCCAGCTGTGGACTACTATTTTTCCATATGTTAAACAGGCACAAACATTGGCCAGATAAATTCCTTATTCTGGCAGGCTTCCTTTATTTCTTATTAAATGTTCCCTGTTATTAAGCTCAGGCCGCAACACAATAATGTAGCATTTTGGGGCAAAAATGCAAGTCAGAAGTCCAGCACTAGAGGCTAAGATAGAGAAGATCTCCACAGCTACCATATATTTTCCCTTGGTACTGAGGTAGCTTGGAAAGAAAGATATCCAAACACTACAAAAGACCAGCATACTGAAAGTGATGAACTTGGCTTCATTGAAACTGTCAGGTAACTTCCGGGCAAGGAAAGCCACAGTGAAGCTGACAAGAGCCAGGAAGCCCATGTAGCCCAGGACACAGTAAAACATAGTCACAGACCCCACATTACATTCTAGTACAATTTTCTTAGCCATTGAGTGCATGTCAGCGTCAGGGAATGGGGGTGAGGATCCCAGCCAAGCAGTACAGATACCTATTTGAATAAGGGAACAGGAAACCACAATGGAATTGGTCATTCTCTTCCCCACCCACTTCCTCATCCTGGATCCTGGTTTGGTGGCCATGAAAGCCAAAACCACTGTGAAAGTTTTTGCCAGTATACAAGAAATAGCCACTGAGAAGATGATGCCAAAAGCAGTCTGTTGAAGGAGACAGAATACCCTTCCAGGTCGGCCGATGAACAGCAGTGCAGAAAGGAAGCAGAGCAGGAGGGAGATGAGAAGAGTGTAGGTGAGGTCCCGGTTGTTGGCTTTGACAATGGGTGTGTTGTGATGCTTCAAAAATGTTCCCAGGACCAGAGCTGTGATGAAAGAAAAAGAAAGGGCAAAACAGGCTAAAATGATCCCCAAAGGTTCTCCATAAGTCAAGAAGCTTATATCCTTGGGAATACACACATCCCGATTATTGTTTGGATATTCTTCTTCTGAACATTGATTGCAGTCATTCATATCTTTAAAAAGAAAATATGTGTTGTGATATTTGTTTGGAATATTCATGGTAATGCATTTTTTGGGAGTTTTATGTCTGGTTTGATCAAAATTTATTTAAAGCTTGGGACCATAAATGTTATCTGTAAGGAATGGTTTGTGTTGGAATTCTCCTAATGAAAATGATGGATAGGAGGTATGCTTAATTCAACTGCTGCTTAGTAAGGATTTATACCTTGTTTCTTCCAGGTCGAAAACTAACATTCTAACCACTACACTAAGATAGCTCTAATTTCCATCTTATCAAAATGCTCAAATTTTCACATGTACATAAATTGATAGAATGCTATTTTTGGAGATCTACCTCTAGTGGGGTATCGACTTTCTTAAGTTTCAGGAACTGTATATATGTATGAGAAACAGGTAGATGATGAAATATTAAAAAATTATATAGTCCTGGAGCCCTGTGATAAGAAAGGATTGGACTCCGTGTTCCACAACAATTGTAGGATCCAAGCATTCTTCAAAAACTCAGCTACATTGTTGTCATTGATATGCTTGTGTTCTGGATTTGGCTGAGGTTCAAGTACTGAGCAAAATTGGGCACTTTGAGGGGGATTTGGGCCTTGGACAAGTTAGGTTGAAAGAGGATCCTGATGTTGCCTGACACTCCTGCCTGCCTGATGCGCTGACACTCCTGCCTGCCTGGTGAGCAGAAGTGATAGTTCTGCTCACCAGCTGTTGACGTGATGCATTGATTCTGTGGGGTGTGGGAGCTGCTTGCAAAGGGAGCTGCTGCCTGCAGGAAAGGCACTGGTGCGGGTCCAGATTAAAACAACAGGAGTTCCTAGGCTAAGAGACCTTGGGAGGCCTAAACCTAATAGCATTTGATCATTAGAAACAAAACCTCATTTTTTATCTACTCATTGAAAGTAGTCAAAATTTAAAATTTAAAAATAGTCCAGTAGCACCTTAGAGATCAACTAAGCTTTTTCTAGGAATAAGCTTTCATGTGCATGCACATGAAAGCTTATACCTAGAACAAACTTAGTTGGTTTGTTCTAGGTATAAGAACAATTATGTGGCCAGCATGGCTAAGCTGCTACCGTCAAATGGAGGATCATGATGAGTGCCAGAGCACATGGAAATGCCATTTACCTTCCCACTGCAGCAGGACCAATTTATCTACTTGCACTGGTATGCTTTTGAACTGCTAGGTTGGCAGAAGCTGGGACAGAGCAATGGGCGCTCACCCCATTGTGCAGATTCGAACTGCCAAGCTTCCGATCAACAAGCTCCAGAAGCTCGGTGGTTTAGACCACAGAGCTACCCGTGTCCCTTACAATATCTACAAAGTCAGAACACTTTATTTTGAAGCTCTTTTGGGTGCAAAGTTACCAATTATATCTTTTAAAACCAGAAAGTTGTGGTTTAAGAATGCTTAGATCAGACAACCAATCTTGGGACATTGTTGACTGTAAATCATTCTTTATCCTTTTTAGTCAAAAAATGATCTTTTGCAAGTAGAGGTTGTAGCCATTAAACACAGGAACCCTGTGAAAATAGTTTCCACATTTGGAAAAGCTGTCTGAATTTTCTCTTTTAATATTGTTTAATGCGTAGCTTGGTGGCTGAAATTTTCTTTTTCAAGGTGAGTTTGACAGTTTTGTACCCAACATTCAGTAGAGAAAATTTTGCTTGGTGTTCAATTTCATCAAATCAGTCTGAGTGAAAATTAGCCTGCAATGGTGGGCTGTAGATTTTTGCAGCTGTGCTCAATGGAATTTGCTAACTTTATGAAATTGGACTAGCATAGGGGGTCCAAAGGTAAAGCATGACAACAAATTCAGTAAGTGAGGCCCAGGGCTGCAGCCCGCTCAACCCGTGCATAAATCTAGCACAGGATAGATGACTCTGTGCAAGAACTGTTTGGCAGAGGTATTGAGTGGTTTCCTGCAAAGAAACTGCTTGTGAAGCAGTACCTGTGGGTTTGATGCCACCACCCAGAAGCTGTTGCACAAAGTCATCAATCTTGCATGGTGTAGGGTTCTCCTTTACAAGCAACTTCCCTGCAGATAAGCCCTTTATGAAGGAATGCACTGCAAAATTGAGTGCCTCTGCTCCTATTTGGGAGGGCAGAAGGCATCTCCTTTTCCTCCTCTCCACCCACTGTAGGTTTAATTAAACATTAGGTAAAGGTAAAGGTACCCCTGCCCGTACGGGCCAGTCTTGCCAGACTCTAGGGTTGTGCGCTCATCTCACTCTATAGGCCGGGAGCCAGCGCTGTCCGCAGACATTCCGGGTCACGTGGCCAGTGTGACAAGCTGCATCTGGCGAGCCAGCGCAGCACACGGAACGCCGTTTACCTTCCTGCTGGTAAGCGGTCCGTATTTATCTACTTGCACCCGGGGGTGCTTTCGAACTGCTAGGTTGGCAGGCGCTGGGACCGAACGACAGGAGCGCACCCCGCCGCGGGGATTCGAACCGCCGACCATGCGATCGGCAAGTCCTAGACACTGAGGTTTTACCCACAGCGCCACCCGCGTCCCACTAATTAAACATTAGTCCCTCACCAAACTAATTTGGGATGGATCCTGTGATACTTGAGTTGCCCCAGAGTAGGCGATCCTTATTGGGATCCCTGATTGGACCCAAAGGGCAGTTTAGGGGTGTTGGGGTTCACAGCCATAGTAATTAAGGATCAACTTAATAAAAGCATAAGTCTGGAAGAAAAGCACACACCTTTCCTACGGCTTTTTTAGTCTGGCAGTAACCACAGATGAAAATGAGAAAACTATGTTTGAGACATCAGTGTGTGATTTACATTGTGGGTGCCCTTTGTGGGATTGCACTTGGTGCTACAGTTCCCAGGGAGTTTACTGGCAAACGGGGGCTGGCTTGCCTCTCAGTGTTAATTTTGGAGGTTCACGCCCAGCCTCAGTAATCAAGCTTCTTGCTGGGAGGTGGGGCCAGCCCCATTTATAAATAGGGGGTGGAGCCAACAATAGCCAGGCAGTCAGCTCTGGAGATTCACCCTCCCTACACTCCCTTAGTTTAATGTTTTCTTGTTTGCAGGTTAACTCTTTCTTCCTGTTTAGCGGGTGCTGCTATGGTCTTTGACTGGTTGCTGTTGAAGGACCCGGAAGAAATTTTCCTACATTGGCAGGTTTTGTCTTCCCTGTAGCAATTTCTCACAACTTTGGGAGTTATGCCCTTGGGTGGAATCCTTTAGTAATTTCTTCCCTATATGGGGGGGGGGGGCATGAGGTGGTGACTCACCCCCCTGCAGCGGCGATTCCAGGGTCCCTCTCTTAAAGGGGATATATATATGGATGCCACTGGCCATATACTGAAAGGTCGTCAGTGAACTACCCTGTGTGTGGGGATATGGGCTTGGCTGCCTGCTAAACTTATGTCTCACAGTGCACCCCTTATCCCATTTACCCTGATGAGCCCCAGTTCCCCCCGGCTGGCGGGCTGGGAGGGAGACACGCCCAAGGCCTAAGCCAAGGTCTTTCTACATTCGGAAGTTTAATAAAGTTGTGGCCTAATTTTAATTCCATATAACATTGTCAGAGTCTTTATTCCTTCCTTATGATCCCTGGGGGCTGGGGCTGTCACTGCCTGGTCACACAAAGCTCAATCTTACCCCTGAAAGTTATCTTTTCTGCTATGTTATCACCAGAACTGCCCATCACTACTCAGAAGCCATTGTACTTTATTAGCAGAACCTGCTTTGAATAATCCGAGGCAAATGATCACATAAACCTGCTTGTTTCTTCTTCAGCTGCTTGCTCCAGGCCACACTTAACAAACATTTCAATTCTTCACCTTTGAAAATTGAAGAAAAGTAATCCTCATAGAGTCCTAAATTTACAGGCACATTCCTCTGTCTTTCAAGCAGATCCCTTCTATTTCGCATCACTGTACAATATACACATAATACTTACCCTCCTGATCTGAAATCTTCCCTTCAGGACATGGGATGCAATCATAACAGCAAAATGGCTCTCCCTCTTTCAATTTCTTCCTAAAGCCGGGATGGCACCTCTCATTACATAAAGAAAGAGGCTGCAACTAAGGCACAAGTGAGAGAGCACAATAATAACGCTGAGAATAGTGAGTTAAGAAAAAGACCCCAAAATATTCTGATTTTCCTAAATTATACAGTGGAACCTTGGTGTTTGAATTTAATCCATTCTGGAACTCCATTTGACTTCCGAAAGGTTTGAAAACTGAGGATCATAGGGCTGTCAGCAAGTTCAATGAATAAGAAAAAATATATATGCTGCTCAGAAGCTGTTTAACTTCCGAGGCACGTTCGAAAAATGGAAGCATTCACTTCCAGGATTTCAATGTTTGGCTTCCGAAACATTCGGCAACCAAGACGTTCGAAAACCAAGGTTTGATTCTATCTCCTTTCAGTAATGCAATATATATATATATATATATATATATATATATATATATATATATATATATATATATATGAATGACATTACCTGCACATTGATTCACCATGTTACTTCCTGTATGTGCTGTTATTCAATAAATAATTCAAAATTTATAAATCTTTTGTTTTCACACACAAACATATTTTATTCAGATATTTGACATGCACTAAATGTAACATTTCTGCTTGAACTGAACATTGCCAGTAGAGCATGACTGAATGTTAAATGAGTTAGATTAGACTCTTATGTATATTTAAACCAATAGAGATATGATTAAATTCTATATACAATTTTCTCTGAACCATTTCTCCATGAATAAAGGCAAGAATATAGAAAGATTTATTTGTTTGTTTATCTGTTTGATCTCGTTATAGTCCACCTTTCTCCCAAGTTGGAATTCAAGATGGCTACTTGTGGAATCATAGCCACTTGTAGAACAGTTCATCAATTGTGCATTCTCAGTGAAATCCCCTGCCTCCAGATTTTATAGTGTTTCATCGCTGTCTGATGAAAATTATTTTACACATCAGGACAGAGCATCAG